CATTGCCAGACAGGCCACCATCTAGACTGGCCTCTTGTAGAACACAAGGCATAATGAGCTTCAATCAGTTTCCCCCCACTAATTCCTGCCAATGTCAACAACTTTTGGTTGCATTAGAGCACGTCATATAGAACCACATCCTATCTTGCTGTGAGAGGAACGTTAGTGTGGCATTAGAGGAGAAGATTTAACACCCTATGCATTGCCAGACAGGCCACCATCTAGACTGGCCTCTTGTAGAACACAAGGCATAATGAGCTTCAATCAGTTTCCCCCCACTAATTCCTGCCAATGTCAACAACTTTTGGTTGCATTAGAGCACGTCATATAGAACCACATCCTATCTTGCTGTGAGAGGAACGTTAGTGTGGCATTAGAGGAGAAGATTTAACACCCTATGAAAAGAATTTGACCTTGCTAGTGTTCCTTTTTTCCCTCATGGGTTGTTTCTGATAGGGTGTATGGAACTAAACTGAAAGCAGAGCTAGTTTGTATAAACACTGTCACCTAAAGGGCTATTTAATTCCTGGAAATAATTTGACTGGTGAAAACCTGCTCCTAACTCTTTTCAAAACCAAGGGTTGTGGCCTTTGGGCAGTGATGAAAGTTAAATTCAGGGATCACAACAGCTAGGGGGCAGGAGTCACATGACTTCCCCATAGGACCCTCCATGTAACTCCACTCTGCCCTCACCCCAAGGTCCTCACGCTTTTCCCTATGTTAAACAGAGGGAGGGAGGGAGGTGGGGGTGGTACAACAGCCAGAGGAGATGCTGGCATTCTGCTCCTTTCCCTGTTTGGGACGGAGTGGGGCAGCAGCAGCACATGGAGAAAGGAGCAGAACACCAGAAGCTCCTCTGGCTGCTGTACTGCTTCCAGCCTTGCCCTCCTGCAGGGCTGCTACTATACGGAGCCAGAGGAGATAAGCAAAATAGCCCTGTGCACGCAGGGAAAGGAACGGAACACCAGCAGCTCCTCTGGCTGTTGTACCATTGCCAGCTTTCAGATCTTAATGGCCACTTTCTTACTGGTACACCCATACCAAGTTATTTTCACATTTGTCTTTGAGGGACTGTAAAGTTATATCTTGACATGGCATGGGCTTAACCAGGCTGCAAAGCTTTGTCCTCTCTTTGGGTACGTTTACACAGTAGTGTTATTTCAGAACAACAAGCGTTATTTTGAAATAACTTAGTCTGCGTCTACAAAGCAGCAATTATTTTGAAATAATGTCCAGCTGGAGGACTTATTACTCTGACTCCTGTAACCCTCCGGCTGTGTCTAAATAGGCATGATTTTGTGCAAAACCATGCTGCCTGTCTACACTGGCGGGGAGTTCTTGCGCAAGAACACTGATGTTCTAATGTGAAATCAGTGCTTCTTGTGCAAGAACTATGATGCTCCCCCTCAGGAATAAGCCCTCTTGCGCAACTGTTCTTGCACAAGAGGCCAGTGTAGACAGGCAACATGAATTTCTTGAGCAAGAAAGCCCAATGGCTAAAATGGCCATCGAAGCTTTCTTGCGCAAGAGAGCACCTACACTGGCACGGATGCTCTTGCACAAAAGCACATCTCTTGCACAAAGGCACATGCCAGTATAGACGCTCTCTTGCACAAATACTTTAATGCAAGAACTCTTGTGTTAAAGAGTATTTGCGCAAGATCATGCCAATGTAGACGTAGCCTCATTGTACGAGGAATAAGGGAAGTCGGAGGAAGAGTGCTCTGTTTCATAATAAGTGCTATGTAGACTCTCCCAATTTCGAAATTAGTTATGCAATTACCATAGCTCAATTTGCGTAGCTTATTTCGAGTTAAGCCCTGCTGTGTAGACGCACCTTTTGTGACATCCTTTTATATAAAAAGAAGAAAAACAAAGGGAAAGTCTTCTATCTAATTTCTCTGATTAAACATGGCCCAAAAATGGCCCTCTCTTGGCTACAGGAATGTTTTTGGAATTTCCCAAATTATGCAGCTATCCAGTTAGATAATCGGAATTGTGCAACCAGATGGAGCAATATGAACATTGGACACAAAAAACTTCACTCCAGGAGGATTTCTTTGGAAAATTTCAGTGTTCACTCCAGGAACATTTATTGTGGACCATTTTCTGCAGAAGATGACTATAGAACTTGGAAAATCTAGGGGAAGGCAGATGCTCTGGTTCAGCTCTGGAACCGTGCCTCTGGCAGACTAGCATGGTGTGGTTACTGTGGTGGTAAATGCTGAAAAAGAATTAAGCATTCCACGTTCATGTAGGTGAACCTACAGGAGTAGTCAAGGCTAAACATTGCCACAAGTGATCAAAGACTGGATCCTTAAGTCTAGTTAAACATATTTCTGGACAGAGGAATCATGTGTTAACGATGACAAAATTTGGGCAGTCCTAAAATTTGGTATATTCTTTGGAGCCTTCATGCCTTCCTTATATTTGGAAATAGATGGAGTGTTTTTTGCTGGAACCCATTCAATGTCCCATTTATTGCCTGCTTTTCAAGAATGGTAAGTATGAAATTAAATAAGCAAAACATGGACCTAACTTTGAATGAAATTACAGGTTGAACCTCTTTAATCTGGCAACAGCTGTGGTCTGGCATGATTTTAGTTAGCTGGATGTCCACTTATCATGGGCGTGGCCAAGTTTCTGTGGTGTCATAAAGTTTGTTTACAGCCACCAGTCCTTACTTTCAGGGCTCTGTGCTGTTATTTAGCTCTAATTTACCCCTACATGTCTTCTAAGAGCCCAATAAGCAATGGACGTGTTGGTTCTTCCTGTGGTTCACAAATTCTCTGGTTTGGCACTAGTCAGATCCCAAGGGTGCCAGACTAGAGAGGTTCAACCTGTATTATAATTGCACTTGCAAATCAGATGACAGCAGATGCAAATTCAGCTCACTGCCCACCTAAGAAATACACATGGTTATTAATGAGCAGAAGTATTTACCCATTGCACAAGTGGGAAGGAAACTCTCACTGAAAAATACCTTGTAATGTTATGATTTGTGAAAATAAATAATTAACCACGCTAATAGGCCATTTTATGAAATAACACAGGTTGTGCATTGCTAGGTTACTGCATCTTGCCTCAGTCTTGCTGAAATAATTTTATTTTATATAGGCCAAAAGGGTGGAAAACAGAATACTTTTTAAAAAAATGAACAGCAACAAATGGAATATATCCTTTTACTGGAAGCTGTGTTCCAGAGTTTAGTATTGTGTTCCTAACAAAATTACTGCCAAGATGGTGAATGTTAAGATAAAAATAAATATATGCTGACTAAATCTGCAAGTAAATTGAAGGCATTTGAATCCTGGGTAGCATTACTTACAGAGAAACCAAACATTTATTTTGTTTGCTTTGTGTTTTTGTGACAGGTTACATGCATCCAAACAATTTTGTCATCCCCAATCTTGTGGCGACATACGCCTTCCTCCAGCCACACAACAGTGACTCAGGAATTATATAGAACTGAATGTCAGAGCACAAGGTCATCATCCATTCTTCCTTTTCCAGTATATAATTCATCAGAGTCAACAGCATATCAGAGTGCAGCTCCTGGACTGTCAGCTTCCTTTGAAGTGGCTGCTAAGGGAGAGCTCACATTAAGGCAAGCTAGCTTCTCTGGGTGGCTGGAATCATTGTCTGTGTAATTCTCTCAGCCTGAGTCAGCACAAAGAGCATTATTCCCAGGATTATCCCTAAATCTACTGTTACAGCTATCAGTGAAAACAAACCTACAAGCAGCAAGGAAGCAGTGCGTCTGTCCTGGAGATACAGGCACCAATGACAAAATGCAAATTCTGATCAATGACATTAAGAGATGTGTTAAATTCCATGTGGGTGTTTAGCTACACTAATTACGTTAATGTTGGTGCAGCTTGCCTAGCTAAAGCACTGTGTGCCATTTTGAAAAAAATGTATCCCCAAAATAAGATTACATGACATAAAGAAATATAAACAGGCAAGGGAGGTGACAGCCATGCTGGGCTCCTGGGCAGGGCGGGGGGGCTGGTTCCATGCTTCTGGAAGGGACAGAGCCTCAGACAGAAGGGGCAAGGCCAGTGCAGCAAGCAGACCACCACCACCCCCTCACAGCCCTCAGTGCCTCCTGGAGCATGCCCCCCCCCACACCTTAGAGTCAACTGGAATGGCTGTGCAATTAGGAACATACTGGTAATCGAAATAGGCCCAAGAAATGGGTTGAGAATGGCCCTCCCCATGACTTCACCCCTGCGTGTCCTTAAAGCCCCGCCCCCTGCGTCATGTTCAGCACACGGCTCAGGTGGCGGGTTGAGCTCTGCGTGCCGCATACAGTACGGACGCGGAGCCACTCAGAGTGAGGGGCAATGACGTGCAGACACGATGGCCCACCGGGAAATTCCTGGTATCCCGCCAGGCCAGTCCGCCCCATGTGTGGTGCTCTGGCAGCAATTTTAAAGGCACCAGGGATGCAGCAATGGCCTGGGGCCTTTAGAATCTTTGGGCCCTGGAACAACTGCCCCCTTTGCCCCCTGGCATCAGCAAAAGAAACCTCCTATTGCTTTTTTAGAGCTTTCTCCCACACGGGTGCTGGTAAGAGTTGTGTGGGACCAGCACTGAGCCACCAGCTGAGCCTCAGCAATGTGCTTGGTTACTCATAACATGCTAATGGGAAGCTAAGGGAGAGGTGTGGGCATTGGGGGCAGGTGGACTAACAGGGCCATTTTGTCTGGCTTTCCTCATGAATAAGCCAGCACTTGCTCAGAACTTTCAAGCACATTTCTGTATCATCAGCCCTCATGGTCGACCCCATGTTCAATGGATGAAATCCCAT